TAAACCGCCTCACAACTTGCCAAGCATCCTTTTAAAGCTCAGTATGCCCGACACTCTTAGTGCGTTGGACGTCGGATGACAATTCCCATGCTTGTTCCATCTGGGGTTTGAGCCGGGGAATGACAGAAAGCCGCATACTCCCCAGATTAACTGTGTACGTGGCATCCAGGCTGAAGGATTCGGTGCTCACGACACTGAGCCAAATTAGCTATGCTGAAGTGATTTGGTTCCACACACACACAAATATATAAGTGTAAAAGAAGAACAAGAAGGAAACACGATTTCGGCTGCAGTGTCCCACTGCTGGCAATGCAAGTGGCTCAAGGGTTGCTGTTTATTGATCAGCCGATGTCACACAGCAAAGTTTCTTATTGTATGTTTCGTGTGTATATACATGTAAAGACAACGTGTGCCACGTCTTGAGAAGAGTTGGCTATATCTAAGTGACTTCACTGGCTGCAGAGAGAAAGACTTTGATTGTGAGCAAAGCAGACGGGAGTATTATCTCTCATGGCTCATTAAGATTTGCAGGTATAGAAAAACGGGTAAAATAAATAGAAAGACAAAAACGACAAACAAAATCCAGTGGCATGCTGTGTACCTAACAACAATAATTACACAATAACTCGTGAAAATGTAAAATAATAGTTGTAAAGGTCAGAGATAAATTCTGCATGATTGCTTGACAAACATGACTGGATTTTCGTTTTTTTTTTTTTTTTAAGGAAATAGGATTGAGCTGTGTAAAGTTATCGTAAGAAACATTACAACAAGAAAGTAACATAATCACGTATATTCCTATCACAGTAATCGAAAAATCGCTGCTTTACAAGGCAGAAGATAGTAAAGTGACAGAGAATTTGATTTCTATTACAACGTGAATTTCCATAACAAAATGTTTGTCACATGCAGCAGACCGTATGATAAAATTATCGCATTTTGTTTTCAAATTACTAGAAAGAAGCTAAAGTTGTAGACTTACCCTCAAGAATCATAATTCGCATAATAATTTCACATGATATCTAGTTTTGTTAAATGTAATAAATCAATAGTAATAGTTACTAATTTCCTTGTTTAAAACAAGTTACAAATTGTTCACTTGTAACCACGGCTGGCCGGCAGTATTTCCTCGGTGAAATAACAATAATATATTTGTATTCGGGAATTGTTACTTCAACAATTTATAACTCAAAGTGGGTGCTTCAATGAAACGGCTTTTGGGTTAAAAAGTGATTTAAAAACATACACAAATAAGGCAAAAAGGCATTTATTACAATAGCTTTGAATGAACCGATTTTCATAATAAAAGTTTAAAACAGAGGTGAAGTAAAAAGTAAAGGACCCTTTTCTAGACCTTTCAGGCGTATTGGGTATATAGGGCTAGACCTTCTTTTTATTGACTAAACGGCACTTAGTGAGTTATGTGGTCAGCATCACGCTGACTGCCTTTATTGCCCCTTTACATTGACCTAGGAGCCAAGGTCAATTTGTTTTTTTTTTTGTAAATCCGGCCCACGTCAGGAACCTTACCCACAACCTTTCGATTCTCAAGCAAGCGTCTAGCTGCTAAACCACGGCTGCTTCCCTTTGGAATAGAAGGGTGCTGGCTCATCCCGGAAACTCAGTCCGACTACATAATACAGTTCTACGAGCAGTTGGTTGTCTTGTCAGCCTGGCCAACCAGAATCTGCTCATCTTTAGTTTGTCACCCCAAGTGGTAAAGCTATTCGGGAAGCTAGCACACGGTAAAGCTAACTGGGGAGCTACCACACGGTAAAGCTAATCGGGGAGCTAGCACACGGTAAGGCTAACGGGGAAGCTAGCACACGGTAAAGCTGACTGGGGAGCCAGCACACAGTAAAGCTAATCGGGGAACTAGCCCACGGTAAAGCTAACTGGGGAGCTAGCACACGGTAAAGCTTATCGGGCAGCTAGCACACGGTCAAGCTAACGGGGAAGCTAACACACGGTAAAGCTAACTGGGGAGCTAGCACACGGTAAATCTAATCGGGGAGCTAGCACACGGTAAACCTAATCGGGGAGCTAGCACACGGTAAAGCGAACCGGGGAGCTAGCACACGGTAAAGCTGAATGGGGAGCTAGCACACAGTAAATCTAACCGGGGAGCTAGCACACACATAAACAACTTTTGCTGTTTTTTCCGCAGTCTCCTCCCTTTTCACAAAATATTTGTTCTGCTGGGTTAAAAAAAAAACGCATTGGCAACGGTGAAGCTTTTTTAACTACAATGAAAAGGCCAACAGTGCAATTGTATGGATATGTAATAGGATCTAAGGGCCTCTCAAAAACAATATTGCAGGGCTCAGTAGTTGGGAAGAGGAGAAGAGGCAGACCAAGAAAGACCTGGCCAGAGAACCTGACTGACTGAACAGGCCTCAAGCACGCAGTCCTGAAGTCCATCGGAACTGACCGCCAAAAGTGGAGAGAGCTGATCAGACAGAAACTGGTGACCCAACGACATGTAGTGTTACAAGATGATGATGATGATGAAGTAAAAACAACAATGACAAACTGTCGAAAAACTGATGATTTAGCAAATATAGCATCCAAGGTTGGACTACAAATAAGTTATTACACGACAAATATATCGAAGTCACCAACAACAGATCAAACAGAAGTAACACTGGAGACGAAAGTAATTAAAGACACAGACAGATCAATTTAGGTAGAATTTTGATAGTGGTGGGGGTGGGGGTGGGGGGGGGGGGGGGGGAGTATGACGAGCATTGGCAGGGCATCACCGGCTTTTAACATCCTGAACAAAGCATGTATTTCTAAACTGAATAGTTTTAAAACCAAATTACATATTTTGAATTCTAATGTTATTTCAGTTTTAACATGCGACAATGAAAGTTGGAGAACAAGTAAAAACATGGGACGAAATTTGGAATTCGAAAATACATGCATGATGGAAATTATGAATATAAAAGGGGGTGAATTCAAAGGGGTGGAAGAAATAAGAGAAATGTCTGAGCAACTACTGGTATCAATAATTATCAATCAGAAAAGATGGCGCTCTATTGGACGCATCCTGAGAGGAAACGAGCAGAAAATCACGAAACAGGTATTGAAAGGGGAAATAAAAGGATTAAGGAGCCAAAGGTGCTGGACTGTTCTGCCCATGATATTGAACGGATTTCTCAGGGTGGAGGAACAGACCCTATGTGAAATATAATGGCACAAACAGGACAGCGAATGAAATTATGTCTTTCTACTCAGAGAGTTCAGGGTAGAGCGGTTGTCTCCCTACCTGTAACAACTGCTGCTGGAGAAAATTCACTTCATCGAGAAAACAACATTTGTGAATTTAAAAAACACATTTCCAAGAGCGCTATGAATCATCATCGGCGACCGGGATGTCAAATATCTGGTCAGAAGACGACTTCGTCGTCGATCAGAACAGTATTTTGGTTTGTCTCTCTTGATCACATCAACGCTACAGGAGTCCGTTTCAGGGCTACCTGGTGGTGAGCAGTGTTAAGCTATTTTATGTGGTGCAAAAAACCGAGTCACAATTATAACCAAAAGCTCTCCGTTCGGAGATAATAGTTGAACGTGAGGATTTTTTTGTTTGCAAAACAAGGAAGGAAAGCGCTATAAATAATACATTTTAAAAAATGTTGACAAAAATGTTTTTATAAAAAAAAATGTTTAACAAAAGTGAACGAGGAAGTATACGCATGCATCATTATCATCTGCATCCTCATCGCTATCATCATCATGTAGTTTGTTGTTTAAGATCTTCACTATCACCATACGCTTCTAGAAAGACTCTCTGCTTTGCTATTCTCATTCATCTCCATGTCTAGTGAAACGCGAACGAAGAGAAATATTGATAGAAGAGCTGGAGAAATTATGGTTTCATTAGCAGTCGACGATGAAGGATAGATAATGTGACTAGGTTGAGGGCCTAAGTTCCACTGAGAGATTATGCGCAGGAGTCGAAGAATACAGGTATGAGACTGGAGCACCAAGGTGGGTATTAAAGAACGTCTCTGAGAAAAAAAAAAACACCCAGTGAAATTAAACGACCAAATTCATTTCGGGTTAGATGGGCTTATAGTTCTAGATTCGTGTTTCAATCGGCAGTCGATGGCTCTATTATCACGTCATACCGACGACCTTTACTTCCCAGAACATTTTTAGTACCAAGTTTAGACTGTTTTGTCTTGTGTTGGTTTCAGCAGTGGTACCGAGAGCTGACCGTTGAGAGCAATGGCAAATACCGTACGTAAAATTTGCCAATGAAAAAAAAAACACAACAGCTAAAAAAAATGCTGGGATTGGTTCCGTAACGTCCTGTAAAGGATACGCAACTAACTTTTTTTTGGGACTGTGTCGACCTCGGAAGCTAGGTAAATTATTAAAATCCCACCGGTGAGGACTGGAGGCCAAGACTATCGAGCCGGTAGTTCAGTTGCTTGCTATCGCGATGTTGCAGTTCCTCTTGCTAGGGATGGAAATGTCAAGGCGTTGCTGCGATCAGAACACATTGAGACTGATCAGAGCACATAACAATGTACAGTAAACCCTCGTTAGCACTCATTCCAATAAACCAGATTTAAAAAAAAAAAAAAAGAGTTTATGTTTAAAATATTTGTGACATTATGTAATAATAAATTATAAATGTATACTGGCACAAAAATTGTCACGTTAACCCAGTGTTCGTCTTAAGCGAGTTCCTATTGGGGCGTTTTTCTGTATTTAGAGTACAGTACAAATGCAACAGTTAAGTGGCGATCCTTCATTGGACAGCTTAATATGTAAAGCTTGCAATGGCGTCCAAAAAAAAAAAAAAAAAATCGGTGTCGGGTAAACTGATCAGAGATATATGTGTGTTTGAGTGAGTATCTGTGTGCGCGCGCGTGTGTGTTTACGTGAGTATGTGTGTGTGAGCGCGTGTGTAGAGAACATGACATGGAAATATCGACAGATCTGTTAATAATTAATCTACAATATCCGGTCTCTTTAGCGAAACTATGGAAATCTTTAACGCTACGGATTTGAGCTACGTGAAAAGTATCACAGATGACATTATTTTAATTAGTGCCAAGACACTTTCGTATTTTACCGTGATCAATGGATGTGTGTTAGGACAGTGCTTGGCAATTTTTGGGCTGATAGTCAACTTACTAAATATTGTCGTCTTTGTCCGACAAGGTCTGCAGGACCCAGTTAACATCAGCCTTCTGGGACTTAGCGTTTCTGACCTCGCATCCTTGTTTGTTCATTTTTTTTCCAATCTCTGTTGGACACCAGCTATAATGCGGATGGATCTGCCATTTTACCCAACGCAACTAATGTACTTTTTGGTTTGGATACACGTCATATTTTCTAGAGTAACCGCCGGAATAACAGCCTGGATCACATTTGAGAGATGCGTGTGCATTGTGTGCCCTCTTAAAATCAAATCAATCGTCACACCCCAGCGAACTGTAAACGTGATTTGTGTGCTCTACGTCACTATGTGTACATCTACTATCCCAGTTTTCTATTCCACAAGAGCCGTCTGGATATTTGATCCTCGCCGGAATAGATCTATTCTAGGAATTGCAAGAATCACACACAGTGAATACATACAACAAATTGCGTTCTGGATAAATAACATTCTGCCTATAACGTTCTTCGTATTCATCACTACGTGTACAATTATTCTGGTCAAGTCACTGAAGAAGATTTCTAAATGGAAGCAACAGTCAGCATACTCACAGAACCCTGGACTTATTTCCCAAAGGGATACCAAAGTTGTCCGAATGATCACCATCATCTCTATTGTCTTTATCGCTTGCTACACCCCAGGAGCTGTTCTGTTAATATTTATTCTCATTTTCCCTGAACTGACGTATTCAGGCAAACAGAAGAACTTACTTGTTGTTATTTTATCTATTTTAGTTCAACTTGAAGGGATTAATGCAACTGCTAATTTTTTCATTTACTTCACAATGAGTTCAAAGTTTAAACGTACATTAATAAGCCTGTTCTGTGCTTATGGCTGTAAGATGAAACAACGCTTAGAAAGTAGTGCTAATAAAAATTTAAAAAATTAAGAAGCTCAAATTGTGATTTTATATAATACTAGATTTAATTGACCGTCTTCACCATAGATAGTGAAAGAAACTATTATTCCCCATCCTCTACCTCATTTTGTTCTCCACCGCTGATTTATACAGAGACCTAGTGGAGATAAGGGTCTAACTAAATTCCTGCATTTCAGATCCCGTCTTCAACTTCTTCTTTGTCTCAAAACACTACATTTGATATCCCCTCTTCTAATTTATCTTGAACTCAACGGTTCTCGTATCGTTAATCCTTGCCCTTAAGTGTATCCGAGGCATCCCATGTAATACTAATACCAGAATTGAACAATTTGGCAGAAGACAAATATGATATCTCAGACACATAAAGATATATGATCGCATGGGAAAGATAACAGTGAGATGTAATTTTTTTAATCAATTTTTCAAGGGACAATTTTCAAAGAGATTTAGCTCCAGAGAAAGTTTACTTTTACTGAGTGTCGCATTAAATAAAGAAATGCACAAAAACCTGTAAAATTAATATTGTAGTCATAATGCCAAATGAAATTTTAAAACGTTTATTGGTGGCGTCTGGGAGGAGTTAAGATTTCATTTATAATAAACACACGACACATGGAAAGGCCTTGTGATTTAAAGTATGTATATACAAGGTCCGACAATTAAGTAATAAGACTGATTTTATTACGGCCAAAACAAAAGTGCCATCTATGAAGTAAAGCATGAAATCCAAAGAGGCAACCTCCATCTATGATCTGGCAACTTTGCATCACCGCCTGATAAGCAGACGACAAACAAGCCGGCTTTTTATTGACGTAGTTAGAAGTGCATTTTTACGAAATCAGCATGGAGCAAAAAGCTAACATTAAATTCTATTTAAAACTCAGAAAAAAGCACCATTGAGACAGTTGAATTGATGCGACAAGTTTGTGGGGATATTTGTTTATCTGGTGCACAGATTTTCGGGCGTTATTCACGATTCACAAGTGGTGTAGAAATGATTACTAATGCAACTAGACCTGGACGTCCAATTTCTGTTTGTAATAATGAACTCATTGCACAAGTCACAGAACAGATACACGATGGTCGTTGTTTTACTGTCAGGATGATGGCAGATAAATTAGGTGTTAATAGAGAGACCCATCGTAGAATTTTAGTGCAAGATTTTGGCAAGAAAAAGGTTGCTTGCAGGTTTGTACCGCATTCGTTGTCTGATGACCAAAAACATCAGCGGGTTGAGTACCCACGAGACATCATCAAAACAAGAATTTTTGACCCCAAAACAAGTGTGTGTTCTCAGCCTTCCACCCTATTCCCCAGATTTGTCTCCCAGTGATTATTTTATATTACCAAAATTAAAGTTACCATTGAAAGGACGCTTCTTTGACGATAATGAAGACATCCAAAGGGCCGTAACATCGACATCAAGGGTCATAGCAACAGAAGAACAACAGAGGTCGTTTGAGTGTTTGTTAGATCGTGATACTCACTGATTACTTTGAAAAAAATACAGGTTATATCTTCAACTGTTGGTTATTTTAATTTTTATGGTATTAGTCTTATTTCTTAATTGTCGGACGTTGTATATATTTGTCAGAGGTCGATAGGAGGGTGGCAAGTTCATAGCATGTTTATAAAGATCATTCCACTTGTGATGATAGATATGCTTAATTGTACTTCTCATATTTGCCTCCGACTCACTGAACTTGATAAGTACTAACAGTTACCAGTGTTGCGATTGCCCGGCTCTCTAGCGTAGTTGGCTAAACCCGATTGCGCGGAGACCGGGTGACGAACTCCTTGTGGTCCGGGTTCACTCCCGGGGGTAGGCAGAAAAGCCACATTTTCTCCCAGATTTACGGTATTTACAATGGAATCAAGGCCGAAAGGTTGCGATATCCATAATACTGAGCCTAAGGGTTAACAACTCATGGCTTCTGGATACTAAAACAAACAACAAACAAACAACCAGTGTTGCGATTTACTTTATTGTTGACACGCTCAAAGCATTTTAAGGCTCAAATTACAGTCATACAGTAAGAAGAGACTATCAGAATATGGTCACAATTAACACAAGGAAGTCTGATGTATTTACGACATGTTCAGCTCTGAAACCATTCACTTCATTCTTCTATAATTGCTACATCATTCTAAATCACTATATTAGCGAGCTTTGTCTCACACAGAAACAAAAACCATTATTATGTTGTATGGCCACATTGCCGTTACATAGACCGTCCGTGGCTTCTCTGTGGCCTGTGTGCACACCATGACAGTCACATGCCCGGTGCTTTGCTAGCAGTCCCCCACTTACCCGATCTGCACCCCTACGACGTTCATAACAATATGTATGTCGTCATGCTATATAGTACAGGGACCTTTTACATTCATTGAGCAACGAAAAAGGTTAGTTGTGTATCCTTTACAGGACGTTGCAGAACCAACCCCAACAACCCCTGGCTGTTCTGTGGTGTTTCTAGGCAAATTTACGTCCGGTAGTTTGCCATTGCTTCCTGGACAGTCAGCTTTGTTGAAACCACTGTCGAAACCAACGCAAGGCGCATGGCCTGCAGCTGGGATCGAACCCAGCATCCCGTCATTACGAAGCGTTCGCATCGACTTAGCCACAGAGCCAACTGAGCAACGGAAAGGGCAATAAAAGTAACGTTGTTTGCTTCCTCGGCCACAATTTTGAATTCAATATACAAGGAATTATTATTTAGGAATGTAAGCATACTTTAAGCGAATCCCGGGGTATGAATTTAAAATTGTGTTATTGTCGAAGATGTCTATGATTATCTGTTATAAGCTGTAACAGTGAAATAATGTATGAGAGAAATGAGATCATGAGGGCATAATGATACACTGGCCTGGATGTCCAATGCTCAACATTTAGAAAACATTGTTACTATTTTGTTAATTCATTCTTTTTTGGTTTTTATCATGTTAGACGTATAGCTTAGATGTCTGTTTGGTGACGAAATAAAGTTTTACGAGGGTGGGGACGTCGGCCCCAAGCTTCAACCCCCAACATGGAGGACCTGGTTAATAATATGTTTAAATCACCATTAATCACCGGCATCATGAGATCTAAAAGACTTAAACGGCTTGGGCATATTGAGAGAGTGTCAAATGACAGAGATGTAAAAACTGTATACATAAGGGAGCTGAATGGTCGTAGACCACAAGGCAGACCAAGAAGACGATGGAGAGATAAGTCCAAAAACACCTACAAACGCTTGGTGTCACCAACTGGAAAGAGAAGGCCAACCAGATAGATGAATGGAGGCGGGTGTTACATGCAGCAATGAACCTCAGTGGCTCCTAACACTGAAGAAGAAGACATAGCTTCATATCTTCCATCAAGTATATTTAATTTACGTTATATTTTGTTTGGTCAATGGAACAGGAAGGGATGAGGAAGGAGGTAAACCGGGTGGGGGAAGGGCGGGAAGGGTTACCCTCAACGAGGTTCCGACCCACCAGATGTTTTATCGGCGTCGATTAAATTACTAATGATCGTTGGAGCTGACTAAATAATTCAGTACATAATCAATAAGAATAAGCAAATGGGCAAAGTCACCACTTGTCAATGTTATCCAGTGTCTTTTCATAGTCTGTACAACTAAAATAAATTGACGAGAACAGTCCAATGCTTTACTGTATGTAATATGGTTATCTAGTGAGTGCACGAACTGTTTGGTCAAAAACCTGCCTGTTTTTCCTGTAACCCTTTAGTTGTTTATCAGTAGTATCTCGCAACCTCTCAAGACAAAAACCTGCTTGATGTTTGACAAGAACCAGGCAATTACTCGATAAATTTCTCGCCCCTGCATTTTATTTTCTTTGGCATTTTCACTGGGGGGAGGGGGGCGGAGAGGGGAGACAGAGATTTAGATTCAATTTTCACATTACAAAGAAGAATGTATCGGGAAATCAATTTACATTGATGCAAATCAGTGTCTGTTGTTATTCAATCATGGACCCGTAAAGTTTGACTTGAGCGGGTGTATCTCTTACCCAAAAGTGTTGCCTTGATGTGTTGTATTTGGGACAGTCTTGGAGGACGTGATCTGTTGTCTCAGGTGCTAATCCACGTGTACACATGGCTGATTCGTCAATCTTAAATTGTGTGTACATGTGGCTGGGAAGTCCATTGTGTCCTGTTCTAAGGCCTGTTCACATAGACATCCATGTCTACAAAACCTAAACAAATATTCTGAGAGAATCGGTTTCTAGTTAACAATGTCACCTTTCATATGCCAATGGGTCATTACAAACATAAACATAGTCCCAAACACGCAGTACGTCTTAGAGCTTGGAAGCGTTCCCGTTATCACTGTAGCAAGTACTTTATAGAACGTCGCTTCAACCACAGAACGTCTGAAATAAACTCAGTCTATGATAGCTCCCGCCTCATGCACTTTCCTTCCCAAGGTGTCTCTCATATCATGTGCCCATTTTCGTGCTGGTCTGCCCCTGTCCTTCTTACCCAGCACCATACCTTCGGCTACTGCTGTTTATTATTCGCATTGTATTTGATATAAACAAATTTTTTTCAGATTTTGAGACAAGATGCTGTTTTTGTGCTTATTTTCCTGTTTGGATCTTTTAACATGCCAATATTTCTCTTCCGCCTTCCTGCGCTTAAATACACTTTACAGCAAACCAATGAAAAAACTTTGGTGCTACACTCTCCGTGACCTAGTTCCTTATTCCTGGAGCATTACTTCCTGAGCGTCGTGTTATATTATAGCAATAAAGGCAGAAAAGGTTTTCAAATGTACTTTTGAATTTTGAACTCATTGTTAAATAAATGAAAATATTAGCAGACGCGTTGATTCCTTCAAATTGAACTAAGACTGAGAAGACGGCAACAACTAAGTTCTTCTGTTTGCCCGCATACGCCATTTCTGGATAAATGAGAATAAATATGAAGACTACAGCTCCAGGGGCGTAGCAGACGATAAAAACAGCGGAGATGATGGTGACCATACGGACAACTTTAGTGTCCCTGCTCGAGGTGACTGCATGACTTTGTGAAGATACAGATTTTTCTTTCCATTTGGAGTTCTTTTGCAGTGACTTAACTAGAATGACTGTACACACAGTTATGAATATGAAGAAAGATATAGGCAGAATGTTGTTTATCCAGAAAGCGACCTGTTGTATGTAAGCATTATGTGCAATTCTGGCAATTCCCAGGACAGATTTATTCCGGCGGGAATCAAACAACCAGACGATTCTCGTGGCATAAAACACCGGGATCGCAGATGAAAACATCATGACGTTGAGCGCAATAATGAATGTTAGAGTTCGTCTGGGTGTAATGATGGATTTGATCTTCAGAGGGAGCACAATACACAAACAACGCTCAAATATGATCCAGGCTGTCATGCCAGTGGTCACTCTGTTAAAGAGGATTTGTATCCAAACAAGAAAATACATTATTTGAGTAGGGTAGAACGGCAGATCCATCATGATTATACTAGGGGCCCAACAGAGATTTGTAAGAAAATGAAAAATCAAAGAACCCAGGTCAGAAACACTGAGTCCAAGAAGGCTGATGTTGACCGGGTCATGCAGACCTTGTCGCAGAAAAACGACGATATTTAGTACATTAGCAATTAGCCCAAAGAAGGTCAAACATTGACCTAACCCCCATGTGTTTATCAAGGTAAAATACGAAAGCATCTTGTCACTTACTAAAATAATGTCCTCTTCAATATTGTTCACACTTATTAATTCGGTGTTATTAAACATTTCTACAGCTTAGCAAAGTGCACTCAATCTTGTCAAGGAGATAGTAACAAATATGTGTTCTCTTCGCAATTCACCATAGAATTTTTATAAAAATCTTCATTTGTTATTTCGCCCGCCTGAAGAGGACCCAAGGAACGAATCAGTAAGCTGTCAACATTGCTGGAGAGACACGTTCATTGCAGAGGCATACGGAATTACAACCTGAAATCAAAAACAGACAACGAATTTAAATTAAAGATTACATTAATCAAGAACAGACTTGATCTCCTTTTCTCAACAGATGAGTCTATGGAGCGGGTCAAGTTCAGGGTCGGCATAAACAGCACAAAAGATAGGGGAAACAATAAAAGAGGATAGTACGCTAACCAGGAAACTACGTCAAGCATCACCATTGAGATAACTGCTGCTTCTAAAGCGCTAGCACGGGCAACAGAACAAGTAATCACACAGGCAGTAATCGTAGTAGAATGTATGAACTTGTTTTAGATAATCGCAGCCCATAGTATACCCTCTGAAAGGGCAGACAACATTCAGTATTCGACCATAACTTTCCTTACCCGGATCTACACACATTGCTATGTCGGCATGTGGGGCAACGAACGTGTGGACTAACTGGCAAGTAATGCAGTTATGCATGTTGGACGAAGCATGCGCAGAGCAGATATCATCAACACTGTACTTAGTAGATAATAAACATATGTCTGACACTAACACCATTGCGTGACCTGGGAGTAAGGCATGGTGAAGCACTCCGAACGGAGTTACACATTTTTTTTTAAATGACCTTGACTCCTATGTCGACTTGCCTAAAATGGGTACCACGTTAAGTCCGGGGGAAATAAAGACGATCTTCGTGATTTTGACCACATTATCCACCGAGTACTGACTGAAAATCTTGGGCTAGCCCTTTATGCTCAGTACTCCTGCAGGTGTGGATAATGGTATGTTTACTAAAGCCATATGGCAGCACGACATAAAAAAGCCTCACTTCTTTACTTATAACTTCTTTTTTCTCGTTCACTTTTTCCTGCATGGATCCGTGTTACAAATAGATATCAGATATTTGATCTTGCTCTTCTGGACTCTAAGGCTATAGACACGTTTTGGTGTTGTAGACTTTCTCTGATGTTATCTGTCCATATTCTTCTACTGTGTGTTCTGTGTCTCTTTCCTCTTTTCGTGCACGCCTTGTATTGTATGGTGAGCTAGAGAAAAGATGGGCAGAACATTTCCAAGAGACATTTAGTGGTCCTGGTAAACAAGAGCCAGTTAATTTTGATGAAGAGAGTAAATGACGTATTACCGATCAATGCATGACACATAAATCATATGAAAAGTCTGGGAGGTAAACAATGCAATAGCAAGCAATAAGGCAACAGGTGATGGTGATATTGCTGCAGAAATGCTCAAGGTAGTAAATGATGTAACCATAAACTGAGTGAAAGATGTGCTAAACAGAATATCGGCAGGGGAAAAAACCACAAATCAGTTTAAGAAAAAATAATTAGTAAAATTCCTAAGAAAGGTAATCTTACTTATTGTAACAGCTGCAAAAGAATGACTGTTGTCAGTTCGGTCCAAGACTGTTTGTAACAAAATTATCAATCGAATTAGAGCGGTAGTGGAAAACTCCTGAGGAAAAAGTAGATTTTTAACCCGGAAGACTTATTTTGGAAGACTTTATTGAAAAACAACAGCCCTTTTAATTTGAATTATTTTCTACTTTGAGAATGTTTGTGTTAGCTTACACAGAACATCACTGTGGGAACATTTTAAAATCTGTGGTAAATCAATGAAAATAATAAATATTTAATAATGCACTGTGTGAATGATCATAGTGTGCGGTGTGAACAGATGATGGTTTATATGATTGGTTTGCAGTTGAAACTGATGTGACACTGTGGTGCATTCATCTTTCTTTTTTTTTTTTTTTTTCATAACCGGTGACTGGAAGATGGAATAATTTTGTTGTAAATATCGGCGTTGACCGAGTAGAGAATACGCTGTTGGATCTTGTGACCTTTTGAGTCAACATGCCTTCAGAGTCTGTTACAATCACGACAAGTGTATGCATCTTGTTCTCTAGCCACCGGCATGCTGCAGTTACCGCGTCCACTTCCATTCTCATGCTAGATTTTGTGGTGTCATATGCCAGGCTGTCGTGCACTAAAGATTTTCCACTGGCTTTTGCTACGAACCCCAGGCACTTTTCTTTCCTCTCACCACCTACCCATTTATTTAGGTAATCAAATCACCTGGGCGTGAATTGTCGTGAATCAACTGTTGGACTCCCACCTCCGTAGCACCCGTTGGCCACTCTCTGCACTTCCGGCCCAATGTGATCATAAACTTACACAAGTCAGACTTTTCCTATGGCACTCTGACCCACTCCTCTCCTAGCCCAAACCATCCTCACCTGTACAGTTTGTAATGATTGCATTAGCCATGAGACCTTAAGTAATGAGGCTCGGTATTCCCTCTGTCCTATACTGCTCAACAGTCTATGAATTATCTGAGATAAAGAAAATGTTGACACACTATGCATAATTTATATATATATTTTTAAGTACTAGTCATCGTCTCATTTGTAATGCGGTATCTCAAACGTTAATACGGTCGAAATTTATATAAAAGTATGATAATTGTTGTAATATCCCAAAGAAAAATATGATCATTGATTAAACTATTTTACCATCTCTCTCTCTCTAACAGATGACATTTAATGTCATCAAATTCCACGTGGTTTATTCCTCACTCTTACGAATCATCACATCGTTTACTCTCTACTGGTACGAGGTACAACATCGTTTACTCTCTACTGCTATGAGGAACAGCAATCATCCAATTATATTGCATACAGCAAAAAAGCAATCCTCTTGGTTTTATATCCTAATGATTTTTATCATAATTTAATAATTCAGTTTATTGTCAACACAAGAATAAACAAAAGTACAAAAATTATAAAATTATCATGTGAACTGTGTCTGCGAACTACATATCGATTCTGTGACACGTTTGAGTCCGTGCACAAATCGTCTTTAAGTACAAGTTGTTTGTCACCTGTATTTTTAAAAGTATCATTTTCTCACTTTTATTTAAATGTTGCTTTCTCTTTATCTGAAGTCTCAATGAGCAAAGAATAAAATAGTTTCATTTACCGTGTCCATATGAACAGGGTTCCTCAGTTCTTTTAGAGCAGTTTCACTTTTTTTTTTTTAAACCTGCACAGCTGTTTCCTTTCCACTGTCTCATTTACTATATGTACATATCAGTCATTTACTATCTGTCTCACTCTCTCTTTCTCTTGCTCCCTTCCCCTCAAACTCTCTCTCACTCATTCATTCACTCACTCTTTTTACTTACCATCTTCCCCTGTCTCTGCCGATGTGTATGTATGAGTGGGTGTATAATTATATGTGTGAGTGGGTGTATAAATGTATGTATGAGTGGGTGTATAAATGTGTGTATGAGTTTGTATATGAGTATGTGTTTTGTTTGCGTGTATCAGTGGTATGTATGCACGCGTGTGTGGTGTGTATGTATACATGCATGTATCATGTATTATGTTTGTGTATGTATGTATCGTGTGCATGTGTGTGTATGCGTGCGTATCTGCATGTATAGTATGAGAGAATGTTTTTTTTTTTTTTTTTTTAATCCAAAAACCATGAGTTGTTACCCTTTGGATTGGTATTATGGATATCGCAACTCTTCGGCCTGGTTTCTATGATAGATACCGTAAATCTGGGAGAAATGTGGCTTTTCTTCCTACCCTGGGCGTGAACCCGGACAAGGAGTTCGTCAGCCGGTCACCACGCAATCAGGTTTAACCAACTGAGCTAGCGAGCCCTGCGAAAGTATGTTTAAGTGTGCGCACATATGAGTAGGTGAATTATGTATAGTTCACGAAATGTATGCATGTGTAGCAGCGTATGTATGAGTATATGGGTGTGTATGTATTTCTATGAATGTCTGTATGTGTGAATCTACATATATATATATATATATATATATATATATATATATATATATATATATATATATATATATATATATATATATATATATATATATATATATATATATATATATAGTTGTGAATGTGTTTGACATAGTATGCAGATCTATGCACATGTATGTTTATGCATAAGTGTGTATGCATGTTTGTTAGTGCGTTCATAAGTGTGTTTGTTTCGGCGTTATACTAATTTTGTCAGTGTCATCAGTTTAAAAAGAAAATCTTGTTAAACTAATGATTTAAAAAACAAAAACAAAACAGCCAAGGATAGTTTCGTTTCTTTTGAGTAGTTTGTACGTCTGCCATTATAATTATAATATAATATAAAAGAAACACATTCTGACCAAAACATGTCTCTTTAGTTTGTTTGTTTGTCTAGTGACTGATGACATCCGCGCATTCCACATTTTTAAAGTAAACATTTTATTCGTTTGCCTTAAAACTTGGTGGTGTCATTTTATAAATACTGTGTTTTTAAATCTTCGGTGTGCTTCATGTTTTTAGTGATAGAAATATTATAATAATGTATGTGTCACAGAAAATATATACAGAAATAACTATATTACGGTTTGTTTTACGGTGTGTGTCAGTGTTGTTCTATTAAAATTCAGTCGTAATTGATTTTCTGGCAGTGGAGTTCAGCCTTTGTTTTCTGTTTAATGAGAGGTCTTGCAAACAAAGATTCTTTGTCATCACAGGTGTCAGACAGGTATGCATACTATCCCCCAGGCCTTTGTGTTGTTCAAAAAAGTTTTGGCCATTGACTTTGGTCTGAAAAATCACTATAGAAGATTTTGCGTCACACGAGATATTTGATTAAAATTTAGAGTTTCATGCAAGGTAGGTTTGTGGCATACAATCGCATCACAGGTCTTTTTAGAGTTTGTTCAATTTGGCCAAAAAAGGAAGTTACACGAGATATAAAAAGAGGCATTAGGTGGGCACTCGCCTCTTTTTAGAGGAAAAGACTGAAAGACTTTCA